GAACTGAACTAGAACTGAACTATAACTGAACTAGAACTGAACTAGAACTGAACTAGAACTGAACTAGAACTGAACTAGAACTGAACTAGAACTGAACTAGAACTGAACTAGAACTGAACGAGAACTGAACAGAACTGAACTAAGAACTGAACGAGAACTGAACTAGAACTGAGAACTAGAACTAACTAGAACTGAACTAGAACTGACTAGACTGAACTAGACTGAACTAGAACTAGAAATGAACTAAAAACGAAACGCGAACTAGAACCTAGAACTAAAACTGAACTAGAATTGAACTAAAACTGAAGCTAAAACATGAACTAGAACTGAACTAAACTGAACTAGAACTGAACTAGAACTGAACTAGAACTTGAACTAGAACTGAACTAGAACTGAACTAGAACTGAACTAGAACTGAACTAGAACTGACTAGAACTGAACTAGAAAGTGAACTAGAACTGAACTAGAACTGAACAGAGAACTGAACTAGAACTGAACTAGAACTAGAACTGACTAGAACTGAATTAAAACTGAACTAAAATTGAACTAGAACTGAACTAGAACTGAACTAGAACTGAACTAGAACTGAACTAGAACTGAACTAGAGCTGAACTAGAACTGAACTAGAACTGAACTAGAACTGAACTAGAACTGAACTGAACTAGAACTGAACTAGAACTGAACTAGAACTGAACTAGAACTGAACTAGAACTGAACTAGAACTGAACTAGAACTGAACTAGAACTGAACTAGAACTGAACTAGAACTGAACTAGAACTGAACTAGAACTGAACTAGAACTGAACTAGAACTGAACTAGAACTGAACTGAACTAGAACTGAACTAGAACTGAACTAGAACTGAACTAGAACTGAACTAGAACTGAACTAGAACTGAACTAGAACTGAACTAGAACTGAACTAGAACTGAACTAGAACTGAACTAGAACTGAACTAGAACTGAACTAAACTGAACTAGAACTGAACTAGAACTGAACTAGAACTGAACTAGAACTGAACTAGAACTGAACTAGAACTGAACTAGAACTGAACTAGAACTGAACTAGAACTGAACTAGAACTGAACTAGAACTGAACTAGAACTGAACTAGAACTGAACTAGAACTGAACTAGAACTAGAACTGAACTAAAACTGAACTAAAACTGAACTAGAACTGAACTAGAACTGAACTAGAACTGAACTAGAACTGAACTAGAACTGAACTAGAACTGAACTAGAACTGAACTAGAACTGAATTAGAACCGAACTAGAACTAAATTAGAACTGAACTAGAACTGAACTAGAACTGAACTAGAACTGAACTAGAACTGAACTAGAACTGAACTAGAACTGAACTAGAACTGAACTAGAACTGAACTAGAACTGAACTAGAACTGAACTAGAACTGAACTAGAACTGAACTAGAACTGAACTAGAACTGAACTAGAACTGAACTAGAACTGAACTAGAACTGAACTAGAACTGAACTAGAACTGAACTAGAACTGAACTAGAACTGAACTAGAACTGAACTAGAACTGAACTAGAACTAGAACTGAACTAAAACTGAACTAGAACTGAACTAGAACTGAACTAGAAATGAACTAGAACTGAACTAGAACTGAACTAGAACTGAACTAGAACTGAACTAGAACTGAACTAGAAACTGAACTAGAACTGAACTAGAACTGAACTAGAACTGAACTAGAACTGAACTAGAACTGAACTAGAACTGAACTAGAACTGAACTAGAAACTGAACTAGAACTGAACTAGAACTGAACTAGAACTGAACTAGAACTGAACTAGAACTGAACTAGAACTGAACTAGAACTGAACTAGAACTGAACTAGAACTGAACTAGAACTGAACTAGAACTGAACTAGAACTGAACTAGAACTGAACTAGAACTGAACTAGAACTGAACTAGAACTGAACTAGAACTGAACTAGAACTGAACTAGAACTGAACTAGAACTGAACTAGAACTGAACTAGAACTGAACTAGAACTGAACTAGAAAAACTGAACTAGAACTGAACTAGAACTGAACTAGAACTGAACTAGAACTGAACTAGAACTGAACTAGAACTGAACTAGAACTGAACTAAATGAACTGAACTATAAACTGAACTAGAACTGAACTAGAACTGAACTAGAACTGAACTAGAACTGACTAGAACTGAACTAGAACTGAACTAGAACTGAACTAGAACTGAACTAGAACTGACTAGAACTGAACTAGAAACTGAACTAGAACTGAACTAGAACTGAACTAGAACTGAACTAGAACTGAACTAGAACTGAACTAGAACTGAACTAGAACTGAACTAGAACTGAACTAGAACTGAACTAGAACTGAACTAGAACTGAACTAGACTGAACTAGAACTGAACTAGAACTGAACTAGAACTGAACTAGAACTGAACTAGAACTGAACTAGAACTGAAACTAGAACTGAACTAGAACTGAACTAGGAACTGAAACTAGACTGAAACTAGAACTGAACTAGACACTGAAGCTAGAACTGAACTAGAACTGAACTAGAACTGAACATGACTGAACTAGAACTGAACTAGAACTGAACTAGAACTGAACTAGAACTGAACTAGAACTGAACTAGAACTGAACTAGAACTGAACTAGAACTGAACTAGAACTGAACTAGAACTGAACTAGAACTGAACTAGAACTGAACTAGAACTGAAGTAGAACTGAACTAGAACTGAACTAGAACTGAACTAGAACTGAACTAGAACTGAACTAGAACTGAACTAGAACTGAACTAGAACTGAACTAGAACTGAACTAGAACTGAACTAGAACTGAACTAGAACTGAACTAGAACTGAACTAGAACTGAACTAGAACTGAACTAGAACTGAACTAGAACTGAACTAGAACTGAACTAGAACTGAACTAGAACTGAACTAGAACTGAACTAGAACTGAACTAGAACTGAACTAGAACTAGAACTGAACTAAAACTGAACTAGAACTGAACTAGAACTGAACTAGAACTGAACTAGAACTGAACTAGAACTGAACTAGAACTGAACTAGAAACTGAACTAGAACTGAACTAGAACTGAACTAGAACTGAACTAGAACTGAACTAGAACTGAACTAGAACTGAACTAGAACTGAACTAGAACTGAACTAGAACTGAACTAGAACTGAACTAGAACTGAACTAGAACTGAACTAGAACTGAACTAGAACTGAACTAGAACTGAACTAGAACTGAACTAGAACTGAACTAGAACTGAACTAGAACTGAACTAGAACTGAACTAGAACTGAACTAGAACTGAACTAGAACTGAACTAGAACTGAACTAGAACTGAACTAGAACTGAACTAGAACTGAAGTAGAACTGAACTAGAACTGAACTAGAACTGAACTAGAACTGAACTAGAACTGAACTAGAACTGAACTAGAACTGAACTAGAACTGAACTAGAACTGAACTAGAACTGAACTAGAACTGAACTAGAACTGAACTAGAACTGAACTAGAACTGAACTAGAACTGAACTAGAACTGAACTAGAACTGAACTAGAACTGAACTAGAACTGAACTAGAACTGAACTAGAACTGAACTAGAACTAGAACTGAACTAGAACTGAACTAGAACTGAACTAGAACTGACCAGGTTTGCTATATTCCACGGTATCGAGACTTACTATAGCTAAAAATACATAAATTAACACTTCCATTTAATTTTGTTAATATACAATCAATTTAATATATTGTCAAGTTACCTTGTCTTATTTTCCATAAGAAATACGTCTTCTTTCCTTTGAAAATGTGTAGAAATTTTAATCAAATCTTCTTGATATAATTGAATTTATTTTTAGAAAGTTTTAGCTATTTAATAAGTATTACTACCACATGATACAATACAAATTTTAGGTTAATAAATCACTATTTGTATTAATATTTTTGTATTCTAAATGAAATTACAACCCTACTCTAAAAACTTCTATTCACACTTTGAGTACTTTGCAAAAAGATTTCAAAACTTTTGTTTAAAATTATTTTATTTATTTAATAACTACGAAAAGCAAATATTAGCAAAATGTGTTGAAAAATGTTTTAGATAGAAAAATATTTTCAAACTGCAGCAATTGACACATCTGTGTGCGCTAAAGTTTCTGCTGATTTGTGCAAAATAAGGGGAATTATTTTTTACTCTCTTCTTTAAAAATGAGTGAAAGAAACTTTTCCTGTTTTTTTTATTTTTTATTTATTGGTGGTAATTGTGTTGAAAAGAAAATAGCGTTTTTTTATTTAGAATTAATATGAGTTGGTAAAATGTTTTATGTTTTAGTCGATGAGATAAATGTTTGAAGAAACTTGGGAAGCAGAAAATATATTTAATGGTTGATCGAAAAATACGCTAACTTGGTTGGTGTCATTGCCTTTGTAACAGGTGGAATGACTTTAAAAGTTATTCTAAATATGTTTTAGCTTAAAAACCAAAATCTGAGATTATGGAAACTAGAAACTAAGGACATATGTGATTACTTTAGATCCTGGGGAAATATAGTGGACCCAATATGAACCATGGCGAAACATTTTAATATTAACATTTTAAATAACCTTACAACAGAAATTTAAAATGCAATTAGGTTTTCGGTTTACTTTATCTACAATTTAACTTTATTATCTAAAGTTACGCTCTAAGGGATGGAATTCTTAAAATAAACAAGAAAATTTCATGTTGAAACATTTTTATTCTAAAACTCAGGATGTACGTTTCTATAAAGTACAACCTCATGTGGCAGTTAACGTTCAACAAATTGTTAGAAAAGGAAATGTAACACAGTTTGATTCAGTTTTGCTTTGTGCTAAAGTTTTTCGCATTTAGAGGAAAGGGATTTGTGTATTTGCTACAAAGGGAATAAGGCAACGCAAATATAATGGGAAATTATCAGTATAATAGAGAAAGTTTGACGGTCAAGACAAAGAAACAAGTTGAAGTAAAATTTTAAAATAACTAAGAAATAAACACGAAGATTAAACGTTAGATAGTTAAGATATAAAGATCCAATAGGACTTACTACAGTTCAGTGCCCTGACTTAACGATATAAGGGACTATGCTAAAATAAAGTTTATTAAGTTTAGGTAATAAATATTTATTATATTTCTTATTTCTATATTCTTAAATTAATACTCAGTCTGTTTACTTTTTAAAGTTTTTACACATTTCTACCACTTCCTTAACTAATACCTTTCCATTATGATTTCTGGGTATTTCCTTAACGAAAAACACACCATAATCGAAGCAATTATGTAAAGAACTTCTCCTTAAATTTACATAATTCATAACATCTCTCGAAGTAAGACTACATCCTTCTTCCTTCACTATCACACAAGCTGGTACATCACCTTTGCCCTCTTCCTGAACACCCACAACACTTACATCTCGAACACCCTTAAGCTCAGCCACAATCACCTCAAATTCATAGGGTGAATAATAATAATTTTGATATTGCAATACAATCTCGCGACGATCCGATAAATATAAATAATGTTCTGAATCCATAAAACCCAAATCTCCGGTTATGATATAATCTTCAGCATCTAAAATTTTGTAAAAAGCACCCACATCACCGTAATAAGCCATTTCATTAGGGTAAAATTTATTCTTTACACACAATAGGCCAATTTCATAAGGACCTAACTTTTCACCCGAAGCTTCGTCTACAATTTTTAACTCCACATTGGAAAATAATTGTCCCACTGATTTTATTTTGTAATCACCAAAATTGGCTGATATACCACCACATTCAGAGGTCCCGTAAATATTTATCACAGTTGCTTGCTGGAGAGTGGAACGTATTTGTTGTAAATTTGTTTTAAAACATGTTGAGCCGGATATGAGCACGAATTTCAGAGATTCAAGTAATTGTGGTTCAAAGTTGATGCATTGTGAGATTTGTTGAGATGTTGCTAGCAAACAATTGACTTTATATTTGCAGATTATATGGGTCATATATTCGGGAGTATAGGGTTGAGAAGTTATAATGCGTAAGTTTCCATGTAGGATGTTGCTTAAGAGACCATGGAAGCCAAATATCCAATCAATGTTGCAAAATGAGAACACCGTTAATGATTTTTCAGAGAGAAGGCTGGAATATTAAAATAGTATGAAAGTAAAATTTATTGAATTCTAGTTCAGTTCTAGTTCAGTTCTAGTTCAGTTCTAGTTCAGTTCTAGTTCAGTTCTAGTTCAGTTCTAGTTCAGTTCTAGTTCAGTTCTAGTTCAGTTCTAGTTCAGTTCTAGTTCAGTTCTAGTTCAGTTCTAGTTCAGTTCTAGTTCTAGTTCAGTTCTAGTTCAGTTCTAGTTCAGTTCTAGTTCAGTTCTAGTTCAGTTCTAGTTCTAGTTCAGTTCTAGTTCAGTTCTAGTTCAGTTCTAGTTCAGTTCTAGTTCAGTTCTAGTTCAGTTCTAGTTCAGTTCTAGTTCAGTTCTAGTTCAGTTCTAGTTCAGTTCTAGTTCAGTTCTAGTTCAGTTCTAGTTCAGTTCTAGTTCAGTTCTAGTTCAGTTCTAGTTCAGTTCTAGTTCAGTTCTAGTTCAGTTCTAGTTCAGTTCTAGTTCAGTTCTAGTTACAGTTCTAGTTCAGTTCTAGTTCAGTTCTAGTTCAGTTCTAGTTCAGTTCTAGTTCAGTTCTAATACAGTTCTGTAGTAAGTAGTTGACTGAATCTGTAATTGTCTGATTTCAAACTCACCCATAATTCGTAAGACACATTTTATTTGTTATACGAACACATTTGGGTAGACCCGAAGTTCCCGAGGAGCATAAAATCGCCATAGTTTGATCACATCCCTCCCTCAAAGGTTCTGTACTAAACAAAAGTGTTGGAAAATACTAAAGTAATTTCCATGAAACACTTGATTTAACAAAACCACACAAATAGTTACCTAAATAAATTCTCATTTTCATCATCCGCACTCAAAAGCTCCTCTATTTTAAAAACATCCAAATCATCAGCAACATGATTACATACTGTACAGACAATGGGATACAAAGTGTGAAGAGTCATTTGTAATTTATCCAAATACAAACCATCACAAAATATAACTTTTGGTTTGGTTTTATTCAGCATATAATGAATTGCCTCTGGGTTTAATGGAAAAATGAAATAATTCAAATTATTGCATAATTTAAATGATAATACCAATTCCAATACTCACCTACATTCTCTTCGGGATTGATGGCATGAAAGGCTAGACCATTGAACCAGGCAGCCAATATGATTTGCATCAAATACTTGCTATTTGTTGCAACAACACCAATGATATCATAACAAGTCAATTGCCACTTACGCATCTGTTTAGCCAGTTGTATGGCATTGGTTAGAGCTTCGTGATACTTTAGATGCGTATTGTCTGGATCGCTAATTTGACATATTTCATTTGATGATTTATTACGCATCATACGCAAAGCCCACTCACCCACCGAAACACTTTCATCCAGGCTTTCTTCTTCTCTAGGCCAGCCATACCAAATTTTAGTATTTGTATCATATATCGTCGACATTTTAGTCATTTAATGAGAATTTGGTTTCGACAATAATTTATTGTGAAATTATTTCTTGTCGCTTTTATGGGTTGATTCGACTATAGTTTTACTAATAATTAGTTATGTTTAGGTTATTTTTTTCCTTCTGAGGTATGCAGCAGTATGTCCATTAGCTTTAACTTCATCATAACAAATGATTTTTTGTTTTTGTTATAAATAATTCGTTTAGTAATATAAATTCTTATCTCTATAAACAAACCCGTTACTTGGGTTTGTCACACCGATATGGTGTGGGGAAACGTGATTTCTTATCTAATGGTTTTAATGTATTATCTTATCTTTTCAGGTTGTTTTAGTTTCTTTAAGTATCATGCTGAATATTATTTACTATAAATTACGTATTTTCATAACATGTAATAGTTCTAGTGGCGTGACGTGTTTTTATAGTTTCAAAAAAGAATCTAAGATTTTAAAAAAAGTTATTTTTTTTTGTACAACTGATCTTGTCTAGAATTTTGGGAGATTGTTTAAATGTAATCATTCAATGCTTTAGAAGATAATGGACACGTGTAAACAAGTTTATTGACACTTTCGATTTTTGTAAGAGTTTGAGGCGATTTTGGGGAGTCGTAGGTTTTTGAGTGTTTTTTTATGGAAGGCATTGCGAGTTAAAGTATTATCTATAAGATTTTTTTTTATTTTATAAGATAATAGTGTTCGAAGTTCGAGTGGTCTAATGTCAGTTTAAAATATGTTTTGTTAAAGAAAACTGAATTTTCTGAAACTATGTATAAGGAGGAGCAAAAGACCTGAAATATTTTCTATTGTTAATATTTGCATGTTCACGAGTTCATAAAAATATATAAATCGACTTTAAAAGGATATAAGAATAGACTTTTGGTCGTAACAAAGTCGACAAAAGCCGAGAAGTTGAAATAATTCGAAAATAGTCGAAAGGTCAGAAAAGGTTGGAAAAAGTTCGAAAACTCGACTTTTCATAAAACACAAAATTTGAACTCTCATAAAACGAAAAAAGTCGAATCGAATTGACTTTTCATAAATGGGTCATTTCGTGTCAAGTGAAATCGATATCTTCTGTGTTTGATAAAATTTGCACCTAGATAGTATGCCAGACACAAAATCAAAGAAATAGCTATCTGAACTCCTTTGGACAATTTTTGCTAGGAACAATAGGTGAAAAGTTACACGCATTTTAATAAAACCCTGTATTACCAAAATGTCCAACTTTGACCCCCTCTAAGTCCGGTAGTTCTAGACCGATAGCGTGTCTGGCCTAATATCCAATAGTACTAATCTTGGGGTAAATTTCGTCAAAATCGATTTTTTGAGTTTGGTCACTTGATATGAAATTGCCCAAATATAAAGAGTCAAAAAGTCGACTTTTTGTTTCAACTTGGTTCACACACATTCAATTTAGTGTCCCTGTGTAACCGAGAACGGAGACAGTCGTCACTTTCGATCCCCAAGTAATCAGAGAGCGGCACTTAAAAATCAAATTTATGCAAATTTGTTTATTTATATGCATTGACTCCTTTGTGCTAGTTTGCTGACTGTCTCTTTGTAATCTGTGGAGTGGCAATTGATTTAATTGTAGAACAAGCATATGTTAGATGTTAAATTTGCTAGAATATATAATAATAGAATAAAGTAGACGGTGGCTAGTGGTAACCCGAAGTGATAGGTTAAATAGATAATTCGGGACAAAAAGATTCGGTTCAAAATTGTTACAATTTCCATAAAAATCTCGTAAATGAAGACCGAAGGAATCGATCTATGTTATTTAGGTCTAAGTCTATTTAAGATGTGATTCAGTATATCAGAAACTGACTTGTTTACATTAGAAGCCCTATTAACGATTGTAATAAATAAACTTATAAAATAAACCTCATAAAATACACGCCATAAAACAATTGATTTAATTTACTGTTAGTAAATTTATTACCATTTTATTAATATAAACAAATAGCGGAAATTATGACGCTTTATTATTTGGGCAAAAATCAAAATCAAGGTACAATTTAAAATCGTCAGTGGCCAGTAAAGTAATAAAATTATAAACGTAAATATTTTTTAACAAATAATTAAGGATGTAATCTATGAAAGCGATTTTTTAATCTTATTAACGAAAGGGCGAAAAATTAATCATTTTGGTAAAATCCCAAGATTATAAAAAGTAAAATATGATATGAAAATATGACAACCTATAGCAGCTATGAATACGTTTCAGGTAATATTCAGAAGAAAGTCTCTTATGTAGGCGTTTAAAGCAATTCACACAATTAATATTATACTAGGATTCCCTAGGTGCTTCGCTACCCTAACCAAAATTAAATACATCCAAATTTTTTTTAATTTTATAGAAAATTACGTTCAATATCACATAAATAAATTCGCATTCAGGAAGAAGCTTGTATTAGTTTCATTCATTTAGCTTCCACTTTATAGAAAATTTCGAAATTACTATTTGAAAAAAAAGTAGTATAAAATACCTCTTATTTAATCAAAAATTTTGTGTTTCTGTGTTCTATATTATAGAAAATTAAAAAAATATAATTTGATGAATGAAAAATACCAAAAGTCCCTTTCAGTAGATTCTCATTAACTAAGGTCCCTCCTTATATTTTAAATTTTATATTTCTATGTACAACATCTTAAAAATATCAAAAAGTACCATCGAAAAATCGAAAATGTACAAAAATCTCTCTCAATAAATTCTCATTTAATAAGGATGTGTTCCGGTTAACCATTACAGAGAAAAAAAAGTACCATTTGAAGAATGAAAAAGTACCAAAAAGTACCCACTTACAGAATATTATTCAGTTAAGACCATGTATGTTAAAATTTATGTTCCTAGGTTGAATATTTTAGAAAATTCAAAAAGTACCATTTATGAGATAAAAAGTACTAAAAAGTTCTCTCTTAACGAATCTTATTCAATGAGGAACGTGTATGTTTAAAAATCAAGTGTTTTGAATTCATATTATAAAACATACAAAGAGTATCATTTGAAGAAAGAAAAAATACCAAAAGTGGAATAATTTCTACCTTAGTGGAAAGTACTAATAGTAAAATTTTTCCCCTTTTCGCTTAGAAATATACTTTTTAAGAATTAAGTTTACAAAATGTTCGGTGTTTAAATCTCTATATCACAGATAAAACTCAAACGTTTCAAATCTGCATTCATTTGTTCCAGGAAAATTGTGCTTTCAAAAAGTACCAAACAATTTACTCGAATTTGGTCCTATATAGCCCATAGTACTCGAATTCCAAAATAATATACCAATGGCTTATTTTGTGTGATTAAATAAATTATTTTTTCAAATTTTATAAAAATTGTCTGAATGAGTTTGAATAAAATTAAATTTCCCGTTTTTTCCCTTTTTGGTACTTTTTTTCCCAGTGAAATAGCAAAAATTTTATTACATTAAATATTACAGAGTTAGTCCGTAATTTAATAGGAATAATTCAATAAATCGAAAAAGTTTTCTTAATGTGCTAAAAAAAAAGTACCAAAAATTCAGTTTTCTCCCTTTTACACCCAAAAGGAACTGAATTTTAAAAAAGTACGAAACAGGGGCCTCCTTATTTTGGGAGATATATTCAAAATATTTACAAAAATTTTATTTTGTTTATTAGTTAAAAAGTTATAAAGGGCCAAAAAAGGTACCAAAATTACCTTTGTTACACATTTTCACCCCTTAAAAGTAGACACCCCTCTGCTTATTTTAAGAGTAGATACAGGTGCATTTGAAATTTTTCTTGTATCACTAATATTAGGTAAGATAATTAGGAAAACCAGTTTTTCCTGTTTTTTTCCCCTTTTTACTCCTAAATGTACAAATTTCCAAAAGTGGATCTATATAACCAAAAACACATCTACTGTCAAAATTTCATGATTCTAGGTTCAGCCGTTTGGGCAGTGCGATGATGAATCAGTCAGTCAGTAACGCAACTCTTTTATATATATAGAAGAAAATCCAAATTTTTAAAAAATATTTCGGTCTTAAATTTAATTTAAATGCGGAAGTAGGCGTTAATTCGGAACTAGTTTTTGATATTCAAAGAATCCTTTTGTTGCAATCATTTTAACATAGGCTTGTCCATTTTTACGATTCATCTTACAGAGTAATTCTAATGTTATGTTTTGGCCACACCATTGGTAGCATTCCTCTTGTGAATTATCGGCCACGGAAGAGCCAACGAACTTGCCAGGCTTTCGTCGAAATTATTTCCTAATATCTTGGGCCCGAGGTTATGTATGTATGTATGTATTCATTTCTCGCGAGTACTGATTAATAAATTATAGAGAACTACGTACAGGAAATAAAGTTTCTGAACATCAGTCAATAATATCTTCATATCACACTATATAATGTTTTTACCACCAACATTGTTCATGTAAACGATCCAATCAAATAAATATCCGTCTTTCAATCTAACCCTTTTGGAAGTGATTTAAAAGTAATGAAATTATTCTGAGTATAAAGTGATGATAATTTAATTCTATTGGAATTATTTATTATTTTATTACTGGGATGATAAACTACTTACACGATACCGAAAGTTTCTTGAGGGAATCGAACCCGCGACTGAAAAATTAGCACACTATCAACTAGTCTACACGATACCCACAAGATTTATATTAAAAAGATTTTGGTAGAAATATCCTTTTGGCGGAATTGTGTCAATTATGTAACGAACTCTAAATTTTATTTGGGAAGCGACATATGAATGTACATATTCGTTAAAAAAATAAGATGTCAAAAGAGCGATCCGCTACCATCGTCAACTTTAAAAACAGATTAGGATCAATTTTGTAGGGTATACAAAAACAACTTAACGTGTATTTAGTTTTCTTGAATGAAATTTGTTAAGTAATGATGTGTTGACAATTCTTATTTTTATATTCGCGATAAGAAGCACATTATCGAATCATACGTGTGTGTTCCCATTGTTTTTGAACTTCTATCAAAATATATACAAGTTTAGTTAAATTTATTATCTAAAAATAATTATTAATTTTCTAATTTAGCTATATTTATAGTAGACCATTGATTTATAGCAGTTGACAATAAAATTGTTATACAAATCTTTAAATATATTAAAAAGCAGCTGCTAATTATATATAGCATATATAAATATAAATATATTTTCTTTATGCAGTAAATATATGACGTGCCTAATATTCTTAGTTGATCAAAAATTGGTCCTAAAGAATAAAGTGTTATTATTTATGCTTGTCTTTTAAAAGCTCTCTAAAATTTTTT